TAGCTCAAACCATCCCTTCTGCCTTCCTCACTACTTTGTAACTTTTTAGAGCACATTAAATCTCTTATGAAGAAACAAATACAAGTGAGTGCAGGGGCAGTTCACAAATTACTTATATACATGTTACACACTGTACTTCATTATATGGATGTAGCCTACCCCCCGAAACCCACTTCCTTAAATGAACACCTTGACAAGCAACTGAGAGACAGGGCTGGGGTGGGAGAACAAGAGGTATCATGGACAGGAATTCAGAGCCAGTGTTCTGCCCAAACAAGGATTAACCCGCCTCATTAAGCAATCTCAAGAGCTAAGGGCATGGCTCCATGGTAGAGTGTTTGCTTAGCCTATGAACCCGATCTTGGGTTCAATCACCAGTACCTCTAAATAAGTAAATGAATGAATAAATAAATAAATAAATAAATAATCTCAAGTCCAACTTGTCTGCTGACAGAGGAGATGAGAAAAATGCTTTTTCACGACAGTGACAACAAAAATGATACTTGCTAAAGATCATGTCTTACTCTGAAAGCACAGATTATTTCATCATTATACAAGGTTCATGGATCAAGCTTCTAAAACTCCCTGGAAGTGCCCACACACTGCAAACTGTTCTTTTAACCACACGTGGGCCCAAATCAGGATATTTCATCCCAGCTCCTTCAAGCTCCCTCGTGTTCCTTTCAAACAGTGTAGGCAGAAGATTCCCTGGCAGAGGCAGTATCAAGAGACATGGTGTACAGAAAAAAGTGAGTTAGAACCTCCAGGTTCTCATACATGCAATCCCAGGTATTTGGAGGCACTGATCAGGAGGATCACCATTAGAAGACAGTCCAGACAAAAAGATAGCGAATGACCCCCACTTCAACCAATAAGCTAAATGTGGTGACGTATGCTTGTGGTGGGAGGTGTAGGCAGAAGGATTTCGGTCCACGGCATTGGCCCCAGGCAAAGCACCCATCTCACAGGCATAAGACCCTGAGTTCAAAACCACAGTACCACCAAAAGAAAGAAAAAAGAAACCTTCAAGTTCAACCTCTAACCATCTGGACAGGCTTCTCAGCAAGCCACTGCTGGTAACAGTGAGGGTAGCAAAAGACACGTGGCCTGTTCAGTTACGCCAGACTTTAGTAGGAAGCTAACACTTGCTCTAATAAGCTCTACCCCCACTGGCTCTGCATCAGTGTCACATGGAGCCTTGTCCTAAAATGCTTGACTCTTTTCCTGAGCTATGGAAAGAACAGTTCTCTACAGAAAGGTCAGGCCAGTCAACACGTACCATTAAGATTACTGCAGTGGTTGTTCTGAAAGGGGAGCACCTTTCCAGGCCATTTGAAATGCATAAACTGTCAGCAGGAAGCAAGTGTCACCACAGTCTGCCTGACCCTCTCCCTGGTGAAGAAATGTACCGAGTCCTGCAGGGCTGACAGGCTCAATATGGTCCAACAATAACTAAGATAACGCTTATGCTTCCGAATGACTATTTCTCATAGTTCAGTGACTGGGAGGGCTTCATTCCAGGGGACCACACCCTGATAACAGGCAAAGCCCACACCCCATTAGCCACCAGGGCTGACACAGGAAAAGGGCTGAGGCTGAAACATCATGACTGACATCAGAGTCTGTACAATGTTTCTGTAAACCACTCCCAAGGGGTCGGAGTCTCAGTAGTGCCAGTGGGGCAGGACTTTGAGGAATACCTGTGGCTATAGAGTGAAGGGTGGCTGGGGTCACCTCCACGTGGTCTAGAAGCTATCTACTATAATCTTCAGCAGACCAAATACCTCACCATGGGGAGTCAGGACTGAAGCACAATAAGGCCTCAGATAGAAGGCAGTCCACAGCTGGGATCCTAAGGGAAACCACCTTAGAGTGCAGCCACATCTTCATTCTTATGAGAGCAAAGTCTTTAACAGAACTTTCCCTTTGTAGTAGCAGTCATTTCATGTAGGTTCAGTAAATGGGGAAAGACCTGGACACAAAGAGAGGCCACTTAATGGTTCGTTTCCATCTCTGGCAAAGGGGATTTGGTTACTTTTGGGCTTACAATAATTCAACTCCAATATGAAGGATTACAAACTCGAGGGCTCTGTCTCACCATCACAATATCAAAACCTGAGGACACATAATCAAAATGAAAATGCAGGTTCTAAACTGAAGGATGAAGCCCAAAAAAGAGGCTTTCTCCCTGTTTCCCAGCAGGGACCCCACCTTCAAGGTCAGTCTCTGGGCCCTCAGTCCCTCCAGAATACTGTGCCCGCCTCCAATGAGGTCATCCATGCCATGGTGAATGTTCTGGAGGGAGGAGTTAAACTGCAGTGATTCATCCATGGGTATGGTGGTGTCAGAGTCCTGTGAAAGAAACATGGGCACTTAATTAGCTTTGCCTGCTAGTCACTCCTTGAGGTACTTCTGCATCTGACTGCCCTGCCTTTTGGCAAAAGCTAAGCCAGAACAGCCAGAGTCTAAAACGGTGCAAGAACAAGAGACCCCAATAGGGAAGAGAAAGCAAAGCAAAGGTGGTAGAAGTCTCTGTTCACACAGAAAAGGAGGAAGTTTTCTCAGAATTGTGACTCTTCAAATGAGTTTCATTACACAAGCACTGTTAGTTTCTGTGTATCATCTTCCCACTGAGGAAAAGCTATTCCTTCAAGATCTCACTGGGTGTCTCCTGAAGCTTTCTCTGAATCCTCACTAAGACAGCTGTCCCAAGTGTTCCTTTACTTGGCTTCCCCTTAATGCGGCATTAAATGTTTGCTTTTGGTCTTTAGCTATTTTATCTATAGCTTATCCCCCTGATTAGACTGAGACTAAGGATCAAAGAGACCATGCTTTCTATTGAAGGCCTAAGGGTGTTCAGGATGGGAATACACTCCTGAGCAGGCAAGAAAAGTTTGCTAAAGAAACAAAGGGAGAAAAATAAAGAATACAGGTTGAGTAGCCCTTATCTGAAATGCTTAGAACCAAGTATCTCAGATTTCAGAGATTTTTCAGATTGGAATATTAACATAGATGTTACCAGCTGAGTAGCCCTAATCTGAAAATCTAATTCAAATTTCTAATTTCAACTTGTACTGATCAAGTACTTTCCACTTCAAAAGTTCACTATTCTAAAATCACTCAATTCCCATTCTATGAAGTAGTTACTCTAACTTTCCCCATTTTACATATGAAGAAAGTGAGGCTCAGAGAGCTAGAATAACTTGTCTAAGATCACACAGCTGGGTAAGAAATCCAGTAGGGCAGAAATACTGGTAGTGAGTGCAGGGCCTGCTCTTAACCATGTTATAGAAAGAAACACCAAGTTCAAATCTGTTGGCTTTCCTTTCACACTGGAAGTGGGCAGGAGCCAGTCATTGCCAGCTGTGACACGGTTCCCTTCTCCTTCCTGCCTTCTGACCAGCAAAAACTCCTGCCAAGAGCACTGTCTTTACCACCTAAATGCCAGCTTCCATCAGCACAAAGAAGTTAAATCTCCTTTTCTCTGCTTCTGAAGTTCAGATACATTTTTCAATCATTGCTGCTAACATGGGAGTACCTCAAAGGGAAGAGTCAGGTTTATTAATATTTGCATGATTCTACACACAGCTGGTGCTCATTAAGTCAAAAGACTCTAGTGTTTAAGAAAACCATGGGCAGAAGGCATGGCTCAAGTGATAGAGCACCTGCCTAGCAAGCATGAGGCCCTGAGTTCAGAACCCCAGAAAGGCCATTCCTCAAAAAAAAAAAAAAAAAAAAACCAAAAAAACTGCTGCATGCAGTAGCTCACATCTGTAATCCCAGCTACTCAAAGGCAGAGATCAGGAATATCACAGTTTGAGGCCAGTCCCAGCAAAAATTTAGTGAAACCCCCATCTCAACAAATGAGCCAGGCATATTGACACATGCTTGTGATCCCACTAGGCGGGAGGTGTAGATATGATTGCAGTTTGAAGCCAGCCCCAGGTAAAATGCTAGATCTTGCTGAAAAATAACGAAAGCAAAAAAGGGAGCTGGACAGAGCACTTGTCTAGCAAGCACAAGGCCCTGTTCAAACTCCAGTCATAAAGAAAAAGAAAGAAATAGAAAAAAAAAGAAACAGGAAAAAAAAAGAAAATCAAGGAGAACTGTCCCTTCATTTATTTGACAAGTACTTAGTGAATGCTATTTTTATACAAATACCTTCCCACACAAAAAGGTTTGGCTGATAGACCATTATCTCTCAGAAAAACGTATTAAATATATTATAGCTCCAGATGGCAAAATGACCAGGAAGAAGTTTCATTTGGCAAGTCAATATTTATTAAGGGCCTATGTATAGACAGCATCACATCAGGCTGGCAAGCAACAAAATAACCCTAAGAGATCATCCCCTGGCCTAAAAAAGGCCTGAATGCAACATCTTAACTATCAAAAGCCCATGCAATGTTTTTTGTATGTCTTATGGTACAATTGTAAATTGTTAATCATCATGACCTAACTGCGTGCTCTGGAAAAATGACAACTATGCAGGCCCATTCCAAAACACCTGGAGAAATGTACTGCATTGCATGGATGGAGCAATGAGTTATACCTCTGCAAAGTGACAGGCTTAGAGAGCGAACACCTCTTTAGAAATTAAACCCCTCTGTAAGAAACAAAATACAAAAAACCAAAACCCACCTCATGTGGTGGAACATTACAAAAGACACAGAAAAGACCGGTGCGTTCTACAGCCACATGCAGGGAATAACCCTGAGACTAGAAGGCAGAGACAATGGCTTCTGAAAAATCAAACCATCAGGCCATTTTCAAACAGACTCAAGTCAGGCAGTCCATCAAATACTAAACATCTGTTAACAATTCCTCCAAACTGCTGCTCAGACTAGGGGCAAAAATATTTTAATGCATCTGCCACTGGAACCACACACATACTGCACAATGGCAACTGCCCCGAGGCAGCTTTGAAATGCTGCCTCTACAAATGGTCTAAATTTTAATCATCTGGGTCTATCTGATCACAAAAACATTTCGACCATGTGAACTTCCACCTCTATAGCAAACCAGTTAAACCAGGTAATTTTCACCTCTGCTCATTCCCTCAATTTAACTGCTTCCTTTTCAGGTTTTGTGTTGGAAAGAGAAATTCCTTGTCTGGGTCTAGTCTCAGTGGCCATGCACAAAGTCCCCTGTCATTTCCAGCTGGTCTCTTCCTCATTAGTTAGCTTCAGGCTCACCTAAAAGGTGAATCTCAGCAATCTGCACTAAGCCCTGACACCTGTCAAGTGCCTATTCAGTGTCTGGCTTACGTTAGTGGTGAAGGTACGAGACAGAAGCTCCTCTCGCTGTCTCTCTTGCTGCTCCCTGGCATAGCGCCGGTGCTGGAAGTTTCTGAGAGCAGTCTGCAGGTGCTGGACATCATATTTCAACTGGTCAACACGACTGGAATTGATGAAGAGAAAGATTAAGTTCCAGGAACCCAGGGAGGCACAATCTGGGGCAGCTAGGCTTTGTACTCAGAAAAGACATTTCCTTACTTCTCCTCACACACCACCCCATGCCATCCCCAGAAATCTTATGTTGCTCAATGATGTATGTTGCTCAATGATGTTGAAAGTAAAGATAGTAGCTCAAGGTTCAAGTGAATGGTAACATATACAATCCCAGGAGCTGCACTTAAATATCTGCTGGTCTCTAATTCTGGATGCATGTCAGGGAACAGGTGAAAGGAAGCAGGTTCAGTGACCCCTTCCTGACCTTCTTATGGATTACATCTCTCTTTGAAGTAAAGCATCAATGAAGTTTCATAAAACTTTTGGGGGCATGGGATGGGGGTGGTTTCATTCGAATTTCATGGTAGAGTATCAAACATTAGATCACTATTTCATTATAAATAGACTGACTGAAGTGATTAAGAGCACAATTTCATTTCAATTCAAAAACTAGGTGGGACCCAAACAGCAGAGCCAACCTCCCCGGCAGCATTAAGACTTCAAGTGGTCAGGGGTCTTGTCAGAAAAAGAGAACTAAAGGCAAATATGCAGAATGATATCAAAGAGGGAAAGGAATCACAGGCTCTGTGCCACAAACCCCACAGGCTTTTGATTTTGAGGTACCACTGAGAAACAACTATACCCTTCTGGGGAACTTTCTCTTTTGCATAGTCTTAGTTTTTCAGTATGTACATGGATTTTCAGAATGTCCCATAGCCTCCCCTGGGAAAAAGAACTGCCATGAGTATGAGGTATCAGAACCCATGTCAGAGGTCAGCACTCACAGTTTGGCATTCTGCCTTTTATTAGGTGGTTCCTTGCTCGACAAAATCTCCAGACGTTCTAGATGGCTGAATATCTGGTCTATGCTTGCTTGGATTTCGTTTTCTACTACTGCACAAAAGAGAAAAAAGAATAATTGCTGGAAAAGAGACAGTGAACTTAAATTAGAATGATAAATCAAACATATTTTTCCATATCCAATAAACTAAAAAACATTATTTCAAAGGGAAAAAAATTTGTACACAAACGGGTGAAAAAAATTCAAGGTATACTGTAAATATTTCAAACTATATGTATATATGTGCATATATGCATACACACACACAAACACACACAAACTGCCCATAGCTGTTAATAACATAACAGCGGCAGGTTTCTTTTTTTTTTTTTTTTAAGCTGAAGGAAGATCTATAGAAATGCATTTCCTACCTTTCCTACCTTTGGAAAATAAACATTTAAAGGTTGCCTGAATAGTATCTTTAGTTAAATTTTCTGATATAGATCTTTTTTTTTTTTTTAAGATTAGTTTCAAATATGGATTATAAAGACTGCCAATTGAATTCCCTAAAGTAGTGAGGTGTTTTTTTAAAAAAAAGCATAAAAGAGATTAGCATGGAAAGATACAAAAGAGCTCCTTTAAGACTTTCTGTAAGAATGGGTGGGCCAGGCTATGTTGGAGTCCTCAAAATAGACCACATATCAGTAGGAAAGGCCCAGGAAAGAATCCAGAGGTAAGAAGATGTGATAATTATTTTCCTTATCCCTTTTGATAAGACAGTCAAAATGACCTCTTTCCACTTCTAATCACGTAACAATGAGATTGTTGGGAAGGCAAACAAAGTCCAATGTACAGAAACTGAACTGTGCACTAAAGAAAGCATTCAGGTGGCTTCTTGCTCCACCAAGAAGTGACATCAGTGGCACCGTCCCTTCCTAGGCCTTCGTACCTGCAGCAAACACAGTTTAGATTAGCATGCTGTGATATGCAGAGATGCTTTTATAGTTGTGGAAAGAGATGAAGAAACAGAAACGGGCATGGCAAGAGCTGGGCAGTGGTGACAAGAACTTCTGCAGAAACATCCATATAGCTGACTCAATAAAAGGGCCTTCCTTCCTTCCCCCTCACCTTTCTTTGGTGGGACTGGGGTTTGACCTTAGGGCTTTGCACTTGCAAAGCTACCACTTGAGCTACACCTCTAGCCCATTTTGCTCTGGTTATTTTGGATATGGGGTCCTGCAAACTATTTTTCGGGCTGGCCTAATCCTCCTGATCTCAGCCTCCCAAGTAGCCAGAATTACAGGTGTAAACCACAGGTGCCTGGCTAAGGGCCTTTTTTTAGAACAGGGGGAAAAAAAAACCCTAAATAAAAGCCATCACTGTATGGGAACTAAACTAATATTGCTATTTGTTTCTGAATAATCCCCCTAAAATGCCAGAGTTCTCAGCTCAGAAGAAATGGCCAATTCCAGTGAAAGATCTCTGAATTTTTATGGAGTGCATTCCTCTAAGGACTTGGAAATTAGATTAAGACAGATGGGGAAAAGAACTTTCAGGGCCATGTCAGGTTGAGTGGAGAGGTAATGGGGGATAAGACTTGAGGGATTCCAAAGGGCACAATCAAGGAAATCAGTGACTTTGCCAAAGGGTTTTTTCTGTCCACCCTAACAACAAAACTCATTCCATGCTGAATCACTAAGCCCCCGAGGCAGAATGCAGGCAGGAAACCCAGCCCATTAGCACCATGTCATCAGAGAAAGGACTCTGGTCTCCATAGTTAATTACTCACAGTGTACAGACTGCTTGTCTGCTGTCTCCAGGCGTCCCATGTGAGACTGGATCTCATGGACCTGCCTATCAAAGGAAGAGGGAGGAAATGAGTGAGACAGGAATAATCAACAGCGCTTCAACCAGGAAAGGCAATTTTTCTGATGCCAACATGTAACTGATTTAAACTGACAGCATTGCTGAACTGTAAAATCTGTATGTGGTACTTTAGGCCACCCGTTCTGGCATGATTTCTAACATGTAAATGCCAATAGTAATAATAATATCAACAGACAGCATTGAGTAACTGCTTACTGTATTCAAGACACAATAAAGTCAACAGCCTATGAGGAAAGTACTATCATCATTCTCATTTTATAAATAACTGAAACACAGAAAGGTTATGTAACTTGCACAAGGTCACACAGGGAGTGATAAACTTCAACCAAGATCCAGCTGATCCCACTCTGTTCTATGACCCAATGTGCTTGCTGAGCGCTGATCTGTACTAGCAAGAGTCAAAGGGCAAGGGAGATATAATCCCTGTTCTTGAGAAACAATGTAATTAGGAATGACAGGCAAGATAGACCTGAAAAAGCCCTGAGAAGAATTACAAGAAAACCAACACACGTAAGTATAAACAAATAGAAAGCTGAGGAGCTACAAGCAGCAGTGCGAGGCAAATGAAGGGCTGGGGCTGAGAAGGCATAAACTGGGAAGTTTTGTGGACAGAGGGAGTTTTGAGCACTACTTTGAAGAAGGGAGACAGGATTTAGTGAAGGAAGAAAATGATATGCAAAAGGCATGTGAGGCACGTCATGTGAATTATAAGCAGCCTGGCCTGCTTGAAGGACAGTCTGTCAGAGAGGGGAATGGAATAGGCGAGGTAGAGGAAGGCCCTGAAAGATAGGGAGCTCATGTTTGGTAAACATCTTTCTATGGCAATTGGAGGGACTGCAGTCTCATTTAGAAATACAACATCGTCCCAGACACCAGGCCCCAGAGCTTTTTCTGCAGGTTCTGTAGGACCTGGCCAAGGTCACCCTCAGAATACTTCCCAGGGGTCCTCATTATCACTCCTTAGAATACTGTACTGCCTAGGACAACAATGCCTCCTGGTGCTTATGTCTCTCCACATTAGAGTCCATGTGAAGGGGGCCCTATCCCCAACCCAGGAGGGAAAGCTCAACAATTCTCCTCTACCATAAGCATTACAGACCATGACCCAGAGCCCACACTTGGTTTCAGCTTGCCTCTAGTCTTTTTCAGGACTTTTAAATATGACACCAGAAAGACACTAGAAGAAGCTAGGCCAGCTGTCTTAAGGACTTCCAGAGTCTTCCTAGGCAAGACTTGTGTCCCTGAGAAGCTTGATAGCTCAGTTTGTTATCCATATGGAAAAAAGACACTTCATATTAACACACATACAGAAACTCAAGACAGTTTAAAAACTAAATGTAAGGATGGCAGAATGGCTCAAAAGGGAGAGCACCTATTAGCAAGTGTGAGGCCCTAAGTTCAAACCCTAGTACTGCCAAAAATTTAAAAAAACCAAAAAACTGAATGAAAGAGCAATGCTTTCAAACTCTCTGAAGAAAATAAGTACAAAAATGAGCTCAGGATAAAGGACTTCTTACATAAGTCAAAAATTTAAAAAAAAAAAAACCTACCCCAAACCCTCACAAACCATAAAGGAAATGACTGATAAATCTGACTATATTAATAACAAAAAGCTTCTTTACATCAAAAGCATCATTTTAAAAAAAAAGGAAAAAAGATGGCACAGACTGGAAGATAATCTGAGCTATCCACAGCAGATAACAAGAACTGATATCCAGAATATATTAAGAACTGTTAAAAACCAGTAACAAATGTCAAATGAAGCATTTTAAAAAATGGGCAAAGAGCAAATAACAGAAAAGAAAACTCAAGTGAAGTATGGTGGTGCACACTTGTTTTCCCAGCACTTGGGAAGCTAAGTAAGTAAGGCAGGAGGATTACAAATTTAAGGCAGGCGTGGGCAACATAATGGGATTCTTGTCTTAAAAACAAAAATAATAACAAGAAAAAATAAAAAAACAGAAATCCAAATGGTCAATAAACACAGGAAGAGATGCTAACCTTTACCAGTAACTCAGGAAAATGCAAATTAAAACTAACAAGATCACATTGTTCCAATCAGATTGACACAGTTTAAAACTTGAGAAATACAATGACATAGGCGAGTGAAATAATATGCATCCAGCATTACATTTCTAGTAATAGGTCCTGAAGAGATTCTGGTGTGGCTACTCAGGAGGAAGAGATCCAGATGATCAAGGTTCAAAACCAGCCCGGGGAAACAGTTCAAGACAGCCCATTTCGAAAATAACCAACATGAGAAAGGGCTGATGGAGTGGCTCAAGTGGTATAGTGCCTACCTAGCAAGGCAGTTCAAACCCCAGTACCAAAAAAAATAAAAAACAAAACAAAAAAAAACCCAGGAAGAACAAAATCATGGATAGGAGTGTGCCAACTTCTGGGGCTGAGGGGGAGAACAGGTATGAGAGCTTTTAACTCAACTTCAAAATCAATAATCTGAAGCACATGTATTAATGAGTCCTGACATGAGTCATGTCATTCTCTATATGACTGAACTATTTCCTAAATAAAATACTAAATATTTTTCCCGGATGTTAAGAGTCAACATTTTAATAAGGATCATCATTCACATATTTACTCATACCCTGATTTCTTCATTCACACATTCAATAAATGAGTGAGTTATACAATAACAACAATCCAAGGGAATAAAACCACAGTAAATCTATGCTGATTTCAAGAGGCACTGGTAGTTTAAAATGATAAATATGGCTTGATGAGATTATAGGTTGAGGGATTCATAATAGGCTAAACAATGACATCCAAGGGATGCTCTTCAATTAGCTAGAGTTGACACATAGGAGGAGAAATGAGCATATTCTCTGCTGCTGAGGCTTTATAAGAGAGTCACAGAACCAAAAGGTTCAAGTTTCAAGACACCAAGTTTCTCTGACATAGGGAAAAAACCTACAACTGTGAGCTGTCTCTTCAAGAAAAGAAAAGGGGATCAAGGAGTTCCTACATGATTAAACAGAGTACATTGACTGTCTTGGGTCTCACAAAGGGTCTTTCTGGTTGGAGTAGATCTTGCCAGTCCCTCTCAAGTCTTAGATTCTATGAGGAAAGCAGGAGGTGATAATAATACCCTAAGAGCATTCTTTGACCAGCTACGTTCTACTGTTTTCTAAGCTAAAAAGGATAACTTCAAGAAAATGCAGGGAAACATTACCCACCTTTCCCATTCAATTTCTATTTACTTTGAATGAATTAGAGGATGTAACCAATGAAGTGATTCTAATCTCCACATTCTACACTGAGAGGAAATAAACACAAACAACACAGCAAGTATGAATGGCATGGTGGAAACTACTAATATGCCAAGTGGAAAATCTGTTTCCAGTGGAACTGGGAATTCAGACAACACACTCACAGCCGATAAGGAACAAGTGAACCCAAGTACAACTTGGGAATGTGGACATGAGAAAAAAAGAAGTCATAGCCCAATCTAGCACAGGGTCCACCATGGGTGTGGGTGTATTACCAAGCAGAGAGCTAGTAGGAAGTAAGCAAGGAGCACTACTGCTATTTTTATTTTGTTATAAAACAAGGTTTATGGAAGATGTAGGAAGAATTTTAAAGGGAACTGCTCTTTAAAAGTCCATGAAACTAGCAGGGTCTAGTGGTTCATGCCTACATTCCTAGCTACCTGGGGTCCTGGAAAAGGATCGTTGATCATGAGTCCCAGGCCAGCCTGAGCAACATAGTGGGACCCTGGCACCAAAAAAAAAAAAGGTCCACTTGCACCATGCACAGCCAACTTTGCTGCATGCTGCCTCTGACAATCATGAGTAGGAAACCAGATTTAGGAGTTAAAGAATCTGTCTGGGTTGAAGGTCAGAGGGTCACTGAGCAAGTATTTAACTCTCAGTGCCTCAATCTCAACTGTAAAATAAGGGTATCAATAATAACAATTATTTAAAGAATTACAGAACCCAATGTAAAGGCTGGTTAACCTATACAGCTTCACAGAAGTTTACTGTTTTCTTGCTTTTGTTTTTGTACTTTACATAATCCCAGCACTCCGGAGGTGAGGAAGGAGGATTATGAGTTTGAGGCCAGCTTGGGCTTCATAGTGAGATCCCGTCTCAAAAGTACTAGGAACCACTTTTTTTACCTTACCCGCTTTGCCTCTATAATTAGCCTTTATCTCAGAAGAAGACAAAATCATAAAAGGAAAAGTTGAAGCTAGGGATGTAGCTCAGTGGTAGAACATTTGTCTAGCACACACAAGGCTTTGGGTTCAATCCCCAGACCACAAAAAAAAAAAGTTGGTCTTGAGAAAAAAGTTCTTAAACCCAGTTGCTCATCAAAACCACATGGAGGATTTGAAATGTGGCTCAAGTGGTAGAGCATCTGCTTTGTGAGGGCAAAGCTCTGAATTCAAACTCCAATCCCACCAAAAAAAAGTAAAAAAGCTGGGTACAGCAGTTCACACCTGTAATCCTAGCTATTTGGGAGGTTGAGATCGGGAAGATCAAGGTTAGAGGCCAGCTCCAAAATAACCACAGCAAAATAAACTGGAGGTGGAGTTCAAGAGGTAGAGCACAAGCTTTGCAAGTGTGAAGCCCTGAGTTCAAACTCCAATCTCACCAGAAAAAAAATAACTAAAAGCAAACAAACAAGCAAAAAACACATGGAGAGCTTGTTTGATGGGGCTTCTTGTGCCTCAGACCTATGAATCAAAATCTCAAGAGATGAAGTCCAAGACAAGAGACCGAGCTTGGACTACACAGGAGACAAATGTGGACACCTTATAACCACTGCAATCTCAAAAATAGAAAACTGGCTATTATCTCCTCTATCAAGTTCATCTTAATGATACATTAAGTGTAAAAAGTTCCAGTTTCATTTTTTAAAAAATTCATTGCACAGGTTAGCTCAGGAGTTTCAAGGAATGTAACTGTAAAGTGATGATTTAACGCCACTGTACTTTCATGGACATAGTAAGAGATAATTACAAACTGGGTTGGAAGTCCTAGTAAAATTAATATGCTCCATTACTACATTGTATCAATTCAGCAACTAACAGATTAACTATAAGGTACTATTAAGCCCACTGTGCTTTGCTATTGTAAAAGATCTGCCCTTTCTTAGTAATGGGGACTAAAATAGATACTTGTAAACCAATATTCATAACAGCATTATTCTCAATAGCCAAAAGGCAGAACTAATCCAAGTGTCCATCAAGAGATGAACGAATAAAAATTCAGTCATAAAAAGAAATTAAATTCTAATACATACTACAATGTAGATAAACCCTGAAAACATTATTACTAACAGAAATAAGTCAGGCACAAAAGGGCAAATACTGTATGATTCTACTGACATAAGTTATCTAGTTTAGGTAAATTAGAGACAGAAAATAGGTCAGAAGTTACCAAGGGCTCTAGATGGAAGAGTGCAGAGTTACTAATTAGTAGGTACAGAGTTTCTGTTTGGGATGATGAAAATGTTCTAGAAATGGGTAGTGGTGATATGAATTTTGTGGGTTTTGTTGTATTTGTCATTTGTTTTCTTTTTCTATGGTACTGAGGTTTGAACTCAGCCTTATGCTGGCTGGGCAAGAACTTCACAACTTGAGCCACACCCCCAGCCTGTGATTTTGAATGTGCTTAACAGTGCAGTATTTTATCACAATAAAAATCATAATTTTTGAAAATAATTACTTATTACTATACCCAACTACATAACCCAACAATTCCAAAAACCGCAGGCCAATATGAATAAAGGACGCACCAAGGAATTTTAGCTATAAGAAGTTAAGCCACAATTCGATTTCCTTAAAGGTAACCTGTAGCCAGACACGATTACCAATAATAGTAAATGCTACCTATACAGCAATTTCTTTGCATTAAGACACTGTCTTTATTTATATCAAATCAGGATATAAACTGACTCTCCAACTAAACAGTGAACGCCTCTGGACCTGGAGCCGAATCTCCTACTTCTCCGTCTCTCCTCATAATCTCTACCAACCGGGAGCACAGAGTTGGCAGGTGCTGGACAAAATAGTACAACCTGTGGGTGCCACTTTCCTTTCAGCCAGTCAACCCAGAAGGCAGTCACAGCTGTGGACCCCAGGAGCCATTCCGCCCAAAGTCTGCAGGCCGGGGGACGGACCCTCAGTCCAGGGCTGCCCTGGGCATCCCGCCTGGAGTTGAGAAGTTCCGAGGGCCTCTAGCGAAAGGACTCTACTTCTACACTGGCGGACGCCCGAGACCCCAGCCCTAGAGGCTGGCTTCGACTTTCCTAGCGCCCGCCCGTTCCCCGACGCTGCCCTCACTTGTGTGTTTGTTGGTATAGCGGCTCCATGTCGCCGGCCGCGCGGACCCCCGGCTCCGGCTTCCTTGGAACACGTCCTCACAGGTCCACTTCCGGCTTCCGGCTTTAAGACCCTTTCTCCTTCCGGCTAAGGCGCCCACGAGCGTGCCTTACTAACAGTGGTTGTGAAATTGGAGAAGAGGAATGAGAAACGAGACCAGAAAGAGAAGAATAAGTGTAACCGGAGGCTCGGCCTCGCAGGGAGACCGATGGCTATAGGTTTTTGCAGAAGTCCAATTTCGGGACTGAATCAGGTATTGGAAAGGACAGTCACTGGGTACTGACGCGGGGTCCTCAGAGCAAGTTGCCTGCGAGCCTGCAGGCTGTAGCTTGTCTTGGCATTAAACGACGTAATTGCGGGTCTGGACAGTTTGCTTTTTACGGGGCTACTGATGGCTCACCATTCTGTCCCGAATTTGTCGGCTCCCTCACCTTCTTATCTCCCCCTTCCCCATTTATCCATCCAATAAACCTACATTGAATGAGTGGTTGTTATGTGTGATATGGGCACAACCGAGTTCCTCCTGCCCTCCAAGAGGTCGCGGTGTAAGAAAGAAAATGTGCAACCCTTGTTCCTTCCTATTATTGTATATACTCTCTCTACAACAAAATTACAAATAAGGGCAAAATAGTTTCTGCTGGGTATTGAGGGGGTGGGGGAAGAGGGAGGGGGCGGAGTGGGTGGTAAGGGAGGGGGTGGGGGCAGCGGGGAGAAATGACCCAAGCCTTGTATGCACATATGAATAATAAAAGAAAAAAAAGAAGGAATATAAAAAAAAAGAAAGAAAGAAAATGTGCTATGTGTACAAACATTCTAAATGGTAGAAAATCCTAAGAAATCCAAAGAGAGTGAACTGATCTGGGGTTGTCCAAAGTAAAAGAGTCAGGGAAGACTTGAAGAGGGAAGGCGTTTGAGTTGGAATTTGAAAGGACTTGGACGCATTGGTCTTTTGATCTTGATCCATCGTGTTTCCATCCTCCCAGGCTTACCTGTAGTTCCTCCCAAGGGACGAGATGTTCCTCTTCTTTTGGCAAGTTGATTCTTCTGTTTTCCTGTATCCTGGATCCGTCCCAGTTTTGTATCCCACCCATGTGCATTCTTTCCCTAGCATTAATTTTCCCACTTTGATATTTATTGAGTATCTACTATGGACTATACACAGATATTGGGGATCAGAGCACGAGCAAAACACGTGTCTTGAGAGTCTTCGAATCTCCCACACATCGCACAGTCTGTTGGGAAGGCCACCAATACTTTCAAGCTAAATTATCAAGTAACACATTTGCTGTCGTTGTTAACAAGCATCGTTTCCTTGGAGATGGTTCCCAAGAAGGGTTCATGGACCAAGTAGCATAGGAATAGGGCCTTCAAGAACTAATAGAGTTTTAACTATCTTGCAGATACTAGCCACTCTGTAAATGTTATTTGAGTTGGCATGGTAGAAATGAAAGACAGGTCATTTGAGCTGGAAGGAATATCCCGAGCAAAGGCAAATGGGAGAACTTGGCTTTCCTGTGCCTTGAACTTAAGGGGGTTAGACAATCATGGTATTAGAAGGAAGGATAGAGCCAGATCATGGGGCATCTTAAATGTCAGGCTCAGGTTTTTATTTGTAGTTTTTATTCCATAGCTAGTTAGAAGCCAGCATAGGTTGGATAGAAGGGTTTTTTTTTTCTTTTTTTATGTTCTCAAAGAATTTTTATTCGAGTATCTTGGAAAATAAGTAGCATTCCTGTGAGATGGAGAAGGTAGATAAGGGAATAGAAGTTCGGAAGATTGCCTGTCAGTCTCTTTGGCTTTTACATGTGCTTATGCCTTCCTGTAAGTAAAAGAAAACTTCATCCCTCTATCTTGCTGCACTTTTAAATTCTATCCAATTTCCTTCTTTTTATAGTAAACCACTTGGACAGTTTGTCTACACTGCTGACATTCTCTATGGGTGATTTGCCCTTCCATCTCTCCTTCATACTGTTTTCTAGACTCACCAGGATCCACCTGCCTTACCCTAGTGGTCTCTTTCTATAAATCATCCTACATTATATATTTATTGAGCTTATTCTATGTGTCAGGCAACAATGCAAGGGCTGTGGAAGGGGGTGCTACAAAGATGAGTAAGATACCACCTTGCCAAAGGAGTTCTTTAATATGCTGGTAGGGAAATTTCTACACAGATAATTAGAATACTCTGGAGTGACTATTCTACACAGATAATTAGAATACTC